TTGTGGGGGGGGGGGGGGGTGCCTTCAAGTCAGTGCTGACTCCTGGTAGCTGCCTGGACTAGTCCCTGCAGTTTTCTTGGCAAGATTTCAGAAGTGGTTTGCCATTGCCTGTTTCCTAGGGCTGAGAGAGAGTGACTGGCCCAAGGTTACCCAGCTGGCTTCGTGCTTAAGGCAGGACTAGAACTCATGGTCTCCGGTTTCTACTGGTACCTTAACCACTACCCCAGACTGGCTCTCCATCAGATAATATACCTTGCTAAAAAGCAGCCCCAAATGTGGGGAGAGGGGAAAAGGGAAACTAGAAAGAATAATCTGCAAAAGCTATGTTTTATGGACTCCTCCTATGGTGGTATCTTGAGCTTACTCAGTTTGGTATCTTAAATGCTGTAGAGAAAAATATATTTTTGTTATATGTTATGTTTTTAAAACTCAGAGTTTGATCAATTACAAGCAATAATAATGTGCAATACATTCCAGACTGAAATGACAATTTCCAGATATTCTGAAGTTTTATCTCAACATGTCTTCATGCATGTTTGAGTGTTATTACTTCTTGCATATGGCTTTTTAAAAATTCTAACATGAATACTTGGAGAGTGCATTATTCATAAAACAAGGGGTACAAGCCATATCCCTGCTCCTCTTGGCTGGAGGTAGTTGAGAAGTGGAGGCAGGTAGGAGTAAGGGGAAGTCACTAGAATTCATGTGCCTGAGAACCATCAAAAAAAGGATCCCTAACTGTTGATTTTCAATTGTTTGCTACACGAAGTTGAAATTCATGGGTTGAAATGTAATGATGTTTTCCCTACGCATTTTGTTAGTTCCTTTTGAGGCAAAACATTAAGTGCAAAAGTTCATTTTACATGTCTGTTACAGATAATGTTGCTGTGGTCCTTACATGTCAAGTATAAACATGTAAAAACTACATAATGTTGTTCAGTTTTACATGCAAGGCCATATACAAACAATGTATTCAGGGTGCAGGCATATGCATTAGGAAGATGCCTCAGGTCAATAACCACAGCAGTGCATTTCTGCTGCTCCATGATTTACAGGTTGTATTGTTGAAATTAATCCATTATTGTTTCTTAGCTCACTCAGTTCTATGGCTGGTTATTTGTATGTTAGCCACAAACAGCTTGTTTAACTGTTGCTTAATTGTTTGCTATGAGATTTTTTTAAAAAATACTTAACTTGTTTTCAAATCAACCCCATGGTCATTTTTCTATATATTGGTTAATAAATATCACTCAGCATAGACTACCATCCCACCTACTTTTGTAGAACTAAGACAAAAACAAGGAATAAGGAGCTTGTATTTCTGTTGCTCCCTATATCAAAACATTTAAGGTTAAATGGCTGAGGAAAGGGAGCAGACACATGTACCTTCAGAAAGCAAGCATTAAAAATGAAATATATACGTAAGATAATGTTGCCAAGGTAGTTTGGCAACAGAGTTAAGACCTGATCTTGTTGCAACATCTCTGTCTTGCAGAGATTTCTTCTCACCTCCAGAAAGGGAGAAGGCTTTTGTGCCTTAAAAGGAACTTTCAGATAACTGGTGTTCACCAAACTGGATTATTCCATATGCTCTGGGCTATGCTCTTGGGTGTTAATAATTATAATCTAACACATTTGGATTAATGAAAGAATAGTCTGGACATAAGACCAAGTGGATAACTCTGTGGCTTTCTAGGTGCACTGATTCCAGTCATGTTCCAATCTGAACATCATTTTGGAGCACATAAGCCACTGGTTTCCAAAAACAGTAGTTTTACGCTTAGGAAGGAGCAGAAACAGTATAAAATAGTATAAACCTAAACTTTGCAGGCAGTCCAGGAGGAGACCATGACTGATAGTACCCAAAGCCATTGGGAGATCTAACAGGACCATCAAGGTTCTATCACAGGTCATCCACAAGAATGACTATTGCAGTTTTAAGTATTGCACTTATGTGCTCAAGCCTTATACAAGACTGACAAGGATCTAGATAATCCATTTCTTTCAAGACCTTCTGAAGCCAAACCCCAACCTATTTCTTCAGAACTTTCCCCAAGAAGAGATGTTTGGAGATGGACAGAAGTTGTTCAGAATTGCCAGATCTGGGGATGGCTTGGGAAGGGGCATACTACTGCTTCCTTTAGGAAGACTGGCACTACCCTCTTCCATGAAGAAACATTCACAAGCTCCTTGATTCAGCTCTCAACACTCTCCCACACAACTTGAAAAAGCCACAAGGGGCAGGAGTCTAGAACTCATGTTGTAGTGGATGTTCTCCACTTCCTTGGCATCCAATGGGTCAAATGCCTCCCAAATGATCTTGCAGGATGTCATCCCAATCACCAGATTTTGCCTAAGAGGTGCCAAGCTCTGAGTAAATATGAGAGATTTATCTTTAAAAACCTTCCAAACAAGTCAGAGCAGTCTCTAGGGATGCAAAAAGATGTCACCTTAAACAAGGTTGCTGGACAGCACATCTCAGCCACAGTTATGACAGAGAAGTACTGATGCTTTTCTGCCCTTATTGCCACAGAGTAGACCCAGTTTGGGCTTATAATTGGTCATGTTTGATCCTCATTTTTTCCCCTGTTTTTATGGTAGGAGACCATAATGTAGTTTGTTGGGTTTTGAATTAGTGTGATGTATATGGATCAAGCCATTGCAGGTTTATCAACCTTTATGTATTGTATGAATTCAGCTATTTGTGGTTTATTCAACAAACAATCTCAAAGTATAGTTTAGTGCAATGTATGAACAAGGTTAGCCAATAATGAAATTGGAATTTGCAGTTGTTTGGTGACAACTCCAAATGAACTAACAATGCCATGTGTATCGATATGAAAAGTTACAGAGTAAAACTGTACTTTTCTAGATGTACTGATTTAACTTGCAGTCCTATTTAACATGATGGGACTTATTCTCAAGCCAGCAAGCAACATATCGACCAGCCCTTCAGCCCTTCCTGCCTTTTTGCCTTTCTTTTATGCTGTTCACAATGCTTGTGATTTCTCAAGCTGTTGCTTAGCAACGTATATAAACAAGGGCAAGGCTGTTGTTTCCCCTTTCCTTCCTCTTTGCAGGATTTTGTAGACCAGTCCATAAGAGGCTATTGGCAGGAGTGTGGAAAGAGGTGCCAAAAGTTGTGTGAAATTGCGGCTTTGAATTGAGACTCCTCATGGCCAAGTATCTGTTTTTGGCACCCAGGTTGCCTGTTCCATTCAGTCCTCTTTCTCCTGAAGCTTTTGAGGAGATCAAATGCCTTGCAGGCAAAGCCTGGGTACAGCACAGCCAGGAATATGTGGACTGCCCCACCTCCTATGCTGCTGCTTTTGGAAATAAAGGACTGGATGTCTCTACACGGGCTCGGGTCACTCCCTCTTCTCCTACCAGAGTACACAGACCTCATCCACCAAAGTAAGTTACCTAACTTTAGGAAGCAAAAGTGCCTGTGTACTGTATATATCTTGGTATGTGTGAGAGAGAGAGATCAGTGAGAGATATCAAGCTGAAAGTAGGAACTGATAACAGTTACTGAAATTGTCTGATCGCTAGGAGTCAGGTGACACATACATTTAATAAATTATTAATTATTATTATTAAATCTATGAGTATCTACTCTAAAGTAGGTATGGTCAAGTTCACTGCAATTACATGTGAACAACTAAATCGTATATTGTTTAAATGTATATCCTATCTTTCCTGCAAAAGTAGTTCTGATCTATAACCCAATTGCAGCTGGAGCAGAGTAACAAGTTTTCCAAATGGTTGGCTGTACTGAAAAAACTGGCATTTTGGCTTCACACTATTTGAGGCTGACACTGAGGAAATATTTTTTTCTATAAAACTTTCACCTCAAAGATATTTCTTGTGCAAGACGCTTGGTAGATGAGTGTTATGAAATTGCCTTCCGAACACTCAAGTTAATACTGTTTGCATCAGCATTCCCAACATGGTGCCTTTCAAATATGTTGGACTTCAACAGTTCCCCACCAGCTCATCTGGAGAATACTTTGTTCCAGAAGGCTGCCTTAGTTTCAGCTGCCTTGGTGGTTAGGCATTCATTATAGCTTACAGTTGTTGTGTTTTAGATAATGTTATTTCATGATCTGAAACACAGTTTCATATATTCTTCTCATAGCAGGATGATGACCTGTCACCAAAATATAAAACCAAAGCAAATCTCCTTCATTCTATTGATTCTTCTGTTCCTGCATGGAATGGGGGAGCATATATCAGGCTGGAGAAAGTTAGTGTAAAAATGGTAAAATATATTATTGGAAAGATAGCTGTGCCCAGGAGACAAAAGATGGGACAGGAGAACTTTTGGAACTTGGTTCTCTCGCTCTCTAATACTTATGAATTTATGTTCCTTCCAAGGTGCTTTAGTATATGTTGTGTGAAAGTCAGCATGAATTTTTTCCCAAAGCTCTCTGAGAAAAAGGGACAAGCAAGTGAAGGCAAGTTTTTGAAAAGACGAATTTCAATTGTTAAAAGTCAAAAGTGTCTCCATTTTATAAATATGAGGACTGCTTAGTTTTATTTCAGTTTTCATCAGCCAAGGGATCTGTGAATTCAGAGTTCCCTTGACTCATGAAAACTAAAATTAAAATAAGCAGTCCTTATATTTACAGGACTGGAGACACTTTTGACTTTGTAATCTAGCATTGTAGTTTAATCAAAGCCAAAGTAGGTAGGATTACATAAATAATAGAAATATATCTTTAAATTAGAGATGATTTTTCCATATTGCTGTGTTAGACTACAATTACTATCAGTTTCACATTAGCAATGCTAAGCCCATGAAACTTGTAGTCCAATATATCTAGAGGGCACCAGATGAGAAAAGCCAAATTAGAGCGTTTTTCTGTTTTCCATGTAACTTGTGGCCTGGCAAGCCTACAGCAGTGTGACACCTATGACTAATGCAGATACAGAAATCTATTGCTCTTTAATCTTGTCCTGCCATTGTCAGTAGATACAAGACAATCTTGATATGTCAGCACTGAAATGTCTCCTTTTGGTCCAGGCTGTCTGTGGTTTGCTCTTCTATAAACTTCCATTTATTCCAAAAGATAGCAACTACAATCTCTTCTCTCATTATTCTTCCACACTGTCTATGGGCAAACTGAAATGTGAAGCTGAACATGAGCAGAAAATACTACTCTACAACATTCTCAATGAGCATGTGCGTATGCACACAAAATACATTTTTAAAGTAGCTTCTCAGCTGCTGTATATAGTGCCCATTTCAGCTATGGTGTGTCAAGATAATCCAATTATACCAACTCTCTGAAACTAGGTGTAGGTTTAGCATATCCATTATCATGACTTTGCACGTGAATACTGTATATGTTCTGTATGTCAACATATGCTCGTGGTTGCAGTTCTTGAGATTTTTGTTAAAAATCGATGTAAGATTCTAGAAGCCTAGGAGTTGGCTGATGCTAATTAGAACTTTCAGCATTACTACCTGAGTGCCAAACTACACATTACAGTACACTTACTTCATGTAGTTTTGTCATAAATTTCTTTAATTGCTATCGACACAGACTACTGGAGAAGGATTACAGCATGAACAATGGAGCTTTCTTTTTTAATTCTCAATTTCAACTCTGAAAAGTACAATTGTTTGCCCATAAACTACAGGAAAAAATGTATAGATATTAATGGTCTGGAATTTTTTTAAACTGTTTACAGTAATTTAAGGAGCTATTGTTTGGAAGAAGCATGGTCATAGAAAGAACAGCTAAATCAGGAAAGCATAACTTTCGGGAGGTATAATTTTAAAGTTTTCTGAAGGCTGTTTGGGGTGCCTGTCAAGTGGGTGTGGCCAGAAGTTTGGGCTTGTTTGGGATGGTCAAAGGGCAAATCAGGTACTTAAGCCTGAAGCTTAAGGCATCCACTTTGCTTTCCTTCCCAAATATGAAAAATTGTCCTGATTTTTGGGTGGTTTTGAAACAGCATAATGAATATCAAGTTTTAAAAAGACCCAAAGAAAGTATTTTGTCCTTTAAAATCTTTCCATCCTGCCCTATCTCCAGAACAAACAAAAATGGTCCATAAATTTAGCCTTCCCTTGTGGAGGATGGGCAATATTCTAAGGACATAGAGGGGATATTAGGAAGGCCACATGCTATAAATACAGCATACACCTATATGCTAAATTTTTCTTTTATGTACATTGTGATTTCCCATCCTTACCCCAAACCTAGTGTTTCTCAAGCCTTATGAGATTAAAATAAGAAGATAGAACTTCTGATCTTACTTTGAACTAAGATATTATTTATTTAACTTTTTTTTTCACACAGACACAATTGGCTGGATCTGTATAGCATCCTCAGCCATATGCCATGGTTTACAAACTAAAATGACTGGGTTCGTTCAACAAGCTAAGCAAAACCCAAACAAACCCCATTACAGCTTATTGTGGTATATAAAGCAAGCCACTAAGTGCACTCAACAGTTTGGGCCTAGATTGAAAACATTAGCCAAAGATAAATAAGCCAATAAACTACCCACAGCTGCTTTTATCACATAGAAGATATGGTTGGCTCAATCACAAACTAGCCATCCATATGGTACATTACACAAACTCTGTCCATCTAGTTATTTGATGGTTCAGTGTTCTCTAGTAAACCCAGACAATTGGACAGTTCAGTAAACCATGATTATCAAATGATGTATTATGATGTAATACTTGTAATAATATTACTGTATAAATGGATGTTTTGACCTATATCTGTACTATGCATAGTGATAACAGCCTAATAAATAAAGCTACTAACATATTCCATTGGTAAGTTGTTGTGCAAACAATCTTTTTTTTTAAAGAAACCTGATGTCAGCAGGTCACAGAAGGCATGATGATAACATGGTAGTCACTGGAGGTGGAGTTTATATTTTTGGATGTCTTTATTTACTACATTTGCTTCTGGGGGGGTTACATACAACGTATGTTATATGTCACTCGTGAGTTTGGGCCAGGACCTCTTAATCCAGCCTACCTTGCAGAGTTTGGTTGTGGGGATAAAATGAAGAGAGATCTCAGCCATCTTGAGCTCTTGGAGGAAAGGCAGAATATAAATCTAAGAAACATCAGGAAGCTATTAAAGGCCTGGCTGCTCTTCCAGGCTCTGGGGCAGTGGAAGGGTGAGCTCTGTTGGATGGGTTTCCTTTTGCGGGGGGGGGGGCATTCATGATTTTCTTTGTGTTTTGTAAATGTTTATTCTTAATTGTAAACTGCCCAGAATCATTGGGAATTGAGTGGCATATACATTTTATAAATAAATAAAATAATAAAATAAAAATAAAACAAACAGAACAAATAGAAATGTGTATAAATATGAAGATCCTTTTCTCTTTGTTCTGTTGATTTCAGTGATGAAAAATATTCTGGAATTTGGTATATCTCAGATTTTAAAGGAGTGAAATATCCATAAGTCCAAACAGAATTTTAACAGACATACAGATATGGCTGTATGAAATGACAGAAATTTTCTTCCCCCGTACAGTTATATAATTCTTATTGCTTTTCCATACAGGCCTTGTGGAATTCTAAGTCCAGATTTAAATGTTACTGTTACAGCATTTGAGTCTCTTCTATGTGGCTGGATCTCATGTTATTCTGGAATGCTTGAATAATTGAACTGTAAATCTTATAACTCCACCATTGCATAGTAATACTGGTTATAAGGTCACTGCAATGATGTCCCATTATATTCTGGGGCTAATTCAAAGTGCTAGTTATTACTTCAAAAGCAGTGTATAGCACAGCACTGGGTTACATTAGGTGTGAGAGATTGTGAGCAGGCTGGAAAAGTAATTGAAAAGAAAGAAGGTGTAAATAATCAAGAGACAAAGGGGGAATCCCTTGGTAGCTTATCTTACAAACAGCAAGACTCAGACTGAGATCAATAAACCTAGGCAGAAGCATTTCAAATCATTCAAGGAGCTCTCCCTTAATGAACACACTATAAATGAGGGTTAGAAATCCCTCATACAGTTTCCAAGATTCATAGTTAAGAATTAAGATGGTAGAGAAAAAGTGGAAGATCCACGTTTCTGCAATGCTTGTCATTGTATTTCAATGAAGTTTGTGTGCTTGGGGTGAGGGGATATATATATTGCCTGTGTCAAGTTCTCCGTGGGTGGGCAGGGGGTGGGATTTCCAGATATGTGCATCTGTGTGTTTGAAAGTGGCAGGTTTTTTGGTAATATTTAAGATGTCTTTCAGTAATGTACAAGACTACCTTACCCATGGGTTGCCTAATCTATTAAGCCTATGTGAAGCATTGTAGATTTGTTTCAGTGAAGAGATTCAGACCATGGAGGTGATGTGATTTGCTGATTTGCTTTGAGAAAGCAATGCAGGTGACCTCAAACTGCTTCAGCCAGTGTTGCAAGAGAAGCTCATCTCAAGTTTCTTCCCCAGTTTTGCATGAAGTGTTTCTGGGTGAGATTCAGGATTCCCCACAATACGTGTGCCAAAGCCACACAACCAGGAAGACCTTTGGAATGCACCAAAAGGGCAGTTCCTGAAGCCACTCAACTTGGAAGAATTTTAGCATGCTCAGAAGGCCTTCATGGCACTGGCTAGAGTTGTTGGCAAGTCAACAGATGCATCACTCGCCTCTGTCCATTTGCATTCCTCCATGGTGTCGGATAAAATTATTCAGCAAGTGCTACAGATGTGTCAGTACCTTTTCCCACTTTTGGGAAGCATTCTGAAGGACCATCAGTGTGTAGCAATGGAGCTACACAGTGAATGCCTTCAGCACGTATCGCAGGAAATCCCACATTTTCTGAAGCTGCCCAGCCTGGAAGACCTTCTGCACACACTAAAGGGTTTCAGGCTGAGTGCCTTTGGCACACACTGTAGCCATTCCTCCCCATACTCTCCCATCGCGCTTACAGAAGAAGGACGGTCTCAGTTGTCTCCCCTACCTGTGCTCTGCAGGAGAATGCTGAGAAGGGCTCCAGTGCAGAACAAAGTGAAGCAACCTAGTAGCTTCGGTTTATTGCTGAATTTTTAAACCACTTCAATCTTAAGACTTTCTGTGGTTCTGCTCTTAGCAGTGAGGCAAACCATATTGATGTGCAAAGCAGCTTCAAAGTGATGTTTTGTCTGAAGCTTCAGCAAAACAAAACATTCCTTTGAGCCTTCAAGCAGCCCTATTGCCTATCCTGGTTGTACAGCATGAAATTTCTGACATTTGAAGTAATAATAAACTTAATGAGAACAATATAATTTTATGTAAGGAATCAGTAAGTTTTCAGTACACATTTGATTATTATTCAAGGCATGAAGATATGAATAAATCCTATGGGAAGTTTTGTTTTAGAAAAAAGCAATACAGATAATCCTTGTTTAGCGACCACAATTGGGATTGGCAACTTGGCCATTAAGCAAAGTGGTTACGTGACTATGCTTATGAACTTACTTCAGCTTTCCTTTTTACAGACCTGTGAAAGTTGTAAATGTGAGGATTGGTCACAAAGTTACTTTTTCATCACCATTGTCACTGCGAACAGTCACTAAATGAGGCAATTGCTAAATGAGGACTACCTGTACTTGACTGTTACAGATTGAAGGGGGAGGGCACATTTCCAACTCAAATCTGGGCTGCAGTCACACCCTTTCTTCCAAGAGTTCCCCCTCTTATTGGTGATGGTACTACCACCACTCAGGTTCAACCTCCTGACACATCCTAGCCTGTCCAGCTAGAACCTTCTTTGCCCTTCTGCCAAATATTTCTCCTTTCAGGCCAAGCTAAGCACAAATGGAAACGAAAGCATGTTGGATCTTCCTGACCTAAGCCCCAAAACAGAGAATTTAACAAAACTTATGCCAGTCCAAAAATATAAAGGTAAAAAGCTCTGCAACTGTGCAGTCTTGCACATAGGAAAGATGTGAAGGAGAAATTCTGCTATTGAATGGCCAATGAAGTCAAGTCTCCAAATGAGTTTTTTGGGGAAATGAAGGCAACAACTCTAGATGCAGAATCCCACTCCCCTCCAAAATCCATAGCCTACCTAAAGTCATTATTATCTTCTTGAATAAGATCTTAGTTTCAATGCATGTTCAGAGTTCATTGTCAAGAGTATAATTGCAGAGATCATCTGGCTCCCTGGTTCCTTGCTCCTTCTTTCATCTTCTAGTACTGTCCTTCATGTTATAGAATGTGGGGGATCACTAAAAGCCACCGTCTGACTTTTTTTTTTGCCAACCAAAGCAAATGCTCTATATCTGTTATTCTCAATATAGCCAGCAAATAAGAAATCATCTCATGACTAAACACACATTCCTGACCACACAGGGAGGAATGATAAAGGCACAGTCTAACTTTCACCAGTTGCGTCACTGTATAAGGGGAGAAGCTGTTGGAGGAAAACAAAAACTGCATCCTACATATTCAGGTCTTTCAGCATGAGGTCAATTTACCAGACACTTTAGAGGGCACTCTTAAGTCATATTGAAAGTAGAGGTTTGTTACATAGACACATGTTAGTGATAGTGGTACATATTATTCAGTGTTGTAGTATCAGTGTTGAAAAGAATCACACAAAACTCTTCCTGGTGGTTTGGTGAAGAGAGTAGTCTGAAACTGGATCACTTTCTTCAAGGTAAGATCTCTTTCTCCTCCCTCAGAAAAGGAAATCTAAACAATTCTAGAGAACCCTACCATTGGCCAGAGTATTCCAGTTTTACTGGCTTAATGCTGATATAAAATTCTTTACTAGCTCAAATGACAGTAATTTAATACTCCACAGTACTGGTTTCTAGCCAAATTCTGACTGAAGTGATATTTATAAAGAAAAGCATAGGTCTCCCTCATCTTATGCATTTAACTTTTAAACTGTTTTTAATCAAAAGCTAGATTGAAGTCATACAACACCAAATTAGAGTTAGTCTGAGTTATGAATAGCTGCCATGCAATTATAAATGAGAGAATATTGCCAATTTTCTGAAGAAGGTTGATGCTGTTTTTGATTATTTCCATCTTTTCTACTATAGCATTGTGGGCATAGTGTCAGCTGTGAGAGAGATACTTCAAGAAAAACGATGCCCCAAATTTCTACAGAAAACCAATCGCTCCTTTAATATCTCTGTTCTTTTTCAGAATGTTTGTTTGAGGACAGTGTAATTTATTATTGAAATGCTGATTCAACAACTCTTCAGATTGGATATTATCCAGTATCAAGTCTTCACTGTTTAGCTGTTTTATGTCCCACTCTCCCTATTCCAACTTTTCTGGTTACAGTAAGGTATTCTTTTAATTCTATTGAGCTTCTGGATTTATTTTTTTCTTTGGATTCAGTAACTGTAATCACATCTGTTCAGAAGTCAAGGAGAAGATATATTCACAAAGAAAAAGAATATACAGTCCTTAAGAGTTTCTTCTGTTTATCAAAATGTATTGTTAGTCCATAAAGATAGCTGTAATATGTAGTAAGCAATTCATGTGTAAAATTAACTCAGTACTCTTCCTTCTAGTAATACTGAATTGTACTCTGTGCAATACAATAGACTAAATAAATTAAAATAGATTAAATAAGACTTCTCTTTTTGTGTTTTTTCTAGAGTATTTTTGGTAAACCAGCTTCACAATCTCCCTGGACATTATGGAAATGGAAAAGGTACTGCAGAAATTAAAAGTGATAAACTATAAGTTCCACTGTTTAAAGATATAAAAACTGTGGATAACTATATACATTATTGATATCAGCTTTAAGACTACCTTGATTTGATGAGTTTCAATTATTAGCAATATGGAGACAGCTCAATAAAGTAACATTTATTCCAAACCATGCTAGCATCTAATTCAACCGAGAAATCTTGAAAGCTGTATTCCATGGGTATCTGTCATGTTTGAGAGAGAGGATAGTTCAACAGATGAAAATCAGAGCTAATAGTTATTTGAAACCAGGGAATCTGACATATATGGTCTGACTTTGATGCTGACTTGCGCATGTAACTTAACTGTCAGATAATGAATTTTCATGCATGGACCTAATTGCAATTGCTCCGTTCACCAAATGAGGCTTGATGGAGGAAGGAAGGAAGGGAGGGAGGGAGGAGGAGGAGGAGGGAAAGAAGTATCTCTAACATGGCCAGGCATGTCAGCACTGCCAATTTTACCTGCAAAAATGAACTATTTGTGCTGTTTCTTAGTAGATAAGCCTATACCCTCTCTGCCCCTCACCCAATCTTAGCATCCCAACTAGTTACCATAATCTAACTTGTTTCTGAATGACAACTGATGTTAAAGTAAAATGTACATTTTAATCACGATACCTTGAAAACAAAGTTATTTGACGAAAGAAAAAAGCCTTAGGAGCATATAAGAGAATATAGCGGAAATGTGCATTAAATCAGTCTGAAAGACCAAGACTCCTACTTGTAAGATTTTACACACTTTTTAAGAAAGCATGCTGAAACTGCCCAGTCTTATTTGGAAAGAAAACCATTGCACGGGATATCAGTCCAAATCATTCTCCAAATACAGTGGTGATCCTTTCTTACATGAAGCCCATTTTTTCATAGAGTATAGAATTCTGGGATTTACAAATCCTGAGATTTGCAGTTACATACCTCTTATCTAGCAGCTTATGTGACATATCAGAGGGAGGCAACACTGTCACAGGATTAGTTCCCTAACCCTAACCCAACAGTGGACCCTGAGGAAGTGCAGCCCTCAACAGATAATGTTCCTTCTTTATCTAGCAATACCAATGACAAAGCCTACAACTTACTGCATGCAGTAGAACAGGTAATTCACCCCTGAGCTACATTCCCATCTAGAATACCATCCAGCCTGATCAGAACAGGGATACCAATAGGCTTGTGAGCACCTCCTTTGGCATTCACATGACTTCCTGACCTGACTTAAAAAAAAATAATGTGAGGCAAGCATCCATTTTGCAGCATAGATATAATCAGAAAAAAAAATGGGTGTTTTCAGCCTGGATTTTGGTTGAAAATGTGCCCACCCCCTAAAAAAAAGTAAAAAATAGCTTTAATGGTAAGAGACATTGGGAAGTCGCACATTTTCAGAAGCTTCCACCACTCTTAAAATAGTGCCTACCCTTATTATAGAACTGTTCCTGTAGCTTTGCTGGAAAGGATGTGTAGAATTTTAGGGATGCTATATTCATCTTAGGCGCTGAAATATATTGGATGCAAGAAATGTCATGCAGAACCTTATCACACCACAACCCTCTTAATATGCAAGTAATTTCCCATTCACTGCAAGCCAAACCCACTTTTTCTTTGTTTTGTCCTCATCAAATACATATCTACCATTGACTGTGTGAATATGTAATGCAGAATTCTGGGAGTTGAAGTCCACACATCTTAAAATTGCCAAGGTTGAGAAACACTGATGTAATGTGAGTGAAGAAGCAGGGAGTGCAACAGGTAGTGTGCCTAATGAAGAACGAAAGCACAGTATGTTCTACTGAAAGGAGAGGTGCTGATAGAAGGGGGAAAGGAAGAATATCTAGAGTATTTTGCTGCTTGCAATGCACCAGGACTGACTGGTTTGCAGTCAACATTGTGCAATTGGGAGTTGAGCGTCCCATAGCAGATGTGGGGAAAATCCTCATGTAGCTGGGCTCAGAGTTTTTCTCCCTCCTATTGAAACATACTACATATTTTCTTAATAGAAAAAAGACCTGCAAGAACAGAATAGAAAAAGCAGGTGGCAAAGAATTAAGAGAGTGATAAATGAAAATAATTTTCTGCTGGACTATATTTGCGTATTATCAAATTGAATGAATTTTTAATTTGCAATTGATAATAAATTGAGTCCCTCATGGTATTTTCTGAAGATTTTCTAAAGATTACTTGACTGTAATTCATAGAGTGAAGGGAGAAAGAACTCTTCCTTTTCTTTTTTATGTCCCTAGGAATTCATCCTAACTGTGTAGAGCATTCAAGTGACATGAACAAGTTCCAAGTTCATCTGGAGAAAGTAAGTAGAAAATAAGTCAAGCATTAGATATTGGAACATGTATTGGATTCAAGGACCATTTCCTTTTTATGTGCAAATGTGTGTAAGAAAACACCAGCAGTAAGTAGATATGAAAAGTTATCTGGACCAGGATAGTGATTTAGAAAAAATGATGAGTGCTTTTTGGTATAAAATTCTTTTTCCCCAGGATGTTCAATGAATTTTATTTTATTTTAGCAAAGCTAGTCATGAGAAGGAGTTCCATGGGGAAGAATGACAAGAAATGTGATGGCTATAGATATTGTTAAGTACATCTTCCTAACCTTGCTTCTTGCTACAGATAGCCCCTTCTTTGAGCTATATTTTTCTACATAGGCTGCTAGCTCAGAGTTAATGCATATTATTTATAGCACAAGTGAGAAAACCATGAAGCACATGGTCCCATTTATGCTTCTGCCAGAGTCCAGCCATCACAGCATAGAGGTTATTCATGTAGTTAGTTACTTATAAATCAAATTTATAGGCTACTGTATAATGACTTTGGGTGGTGTACAAGTTAAAAACTCATCTAATACAATAAAAACAAAGGTGATGACCCAGGACTAATTTACTACACATAATGATTTTCAGCAGCATTTTTTAGATATATTAACAGTCCAGTACAATTAACTTGCCTATTTTGTATTAAATCAATTCTCCCTTTTCTCCTTACAATTCACCCCAAAACAGCTGAACATTTCAGCCCTGGATGTCTGGAGACCTCACTTCCAGCCCCACCATGGCCCTCAAAAATAAGTTGTTAAAGGAAAATGTCATCTGTGGCACTTTACTTGCCCACGATTTTCATGTATTCTGTGGAGTTTCATCTATAGTAGATCTATAGATCTAAGATTTGTGGAAGAACATTTTAATCTCCTACCAAATGAAGAATATAATGACAGACTGCATAGCGGACAAGACAGATTCAACCATTATTCTTCCCCTTTCCACATTGTCTGGCTACAAATAGCCAATCATATAACAGAAGACACCTGTGTCTAAGGTAGATGAGCTAGTGACATTTGCATAGAAGAAAAGACTAAAACAAACAAATTAGGTGGAGCACTTCCAGCTATGTCTTCCAAAATAATTCTAGAGACTCTACCAGTTTTACATTTGATACAAATGATTGCAGTTATTCGACTATAAAAATGTGTGGGAATTGCACATACAAAACTGGTAAAGAAAGTAAAAGTTTATTGCAGGAGCGTTAGAATATGATTTGTTCCTAATGTACCACATTCCAAAGAAATGTTCCAATGTAATACATGCACAACTTTGACTTTGTTTTGTGTAATAACAGGTATGACTTCATTGCAGCTGGATATCTCTGAATTCTAACTTCATTGAGAGCTGCATGCTAAATTATTAGCTCACTGGAACTATAGCAGCCTTCTCCAGTCTGATACCCTACAAATCTTAAAGTCTATCATATCTGAGAACACCAGGTTAGGGAAAGCCATTAATGTCAAAAATATAAAGGTTATGTGGTTGGGTGCTAAACCATAGAATAGATTAACTGGATTTAATACTCAAAGGGCTTGTACTGAAAGTCCTTTGAATAATTTTGTGAAATGTAATCTGAATCCCCACTGCTTTATCATCTCTGTCAAACCATGTTTCTGGAGTTTTGTAATATCTCAGTCTTAATTAGAAATCCCATGATCACTATTTACTTGCTGCAATACTATGGTTGGGTTCACACATTATGTTCAACTCCATAGTGTGGTTAGCTATAGTTTGTTGAATAAACTACCATTGCCTAGATGTACTCAGCATATTAAGCCCAACCTATGGCACCCATAGCATGCCTTACCATGTTATGTAAACCAGACCTATTTTTTCTGCAGAGAAACACAGCACCGTTGCATGATTAGAGCACAAAATATTTCAGTAGAGTCAAAGGAAGGCTGACTGTACTTCCCGAAGAGAATTTTATTTTATACGATTGCGTTTCAAAGGATTATATTTGAAAGCCATAGCATTGGCCCATCAGATCTGAGCTGCAGAAATTGGGACAGCCAGTAGAGGACAGCAAAGGAATTCAGAAAACTAATTTTTTGCTACCATTTAATGATCATTCAGATTTTTGCAACCCAGATCTGGTAACTCTAAATTGTGAAGTGTTCTCTGGAGAGGCCAGTCATCAGTGTTGGTTAATGGTCCTTTTGAAAGGTATGTCAATGCACTACTGTCATCCTTTAGAGATTTTTAGACTGTGTCTTCTGGGGGGGCTGAGATCTGAACTTTTGTATGCATAACGCAAGAGGGACTAGATATTGACAAAGGCACAGTATGTAAGTCCTGGCATAACAGGATGGGGGCCACATTCCCAGTGAGCCGTGTTTCGAATTAAATTCTGACAAGAGAGAGGGTGTTTCTGCCAGGGTAATAATTACTGTTTTCTCTCTGTGAGGAGGAAGCTGAACATGGAAACAATGGTGTGTGTTTGTGTTCAGTGTTCTGCTTTTTCAGCTTCAGTGCTGCAGTTGTGGTTCTTTTTAGACAGTGAGGAACGCAGGGCTTCCATTGAACTAGTTCTGTAACAAGGGAATAAAGGAAAATAATCCTGAGCATGTACAGAGTGAATGTTCTACACCACCAAGCAAACAGAACTTTCAGTGACTTCTTATACAGATATTTTAATAAGTGGAGATTAACCAAATGCCGCATTAGTGCCTGGTTGTTTATTTTACAATCTAGGACAGAAAAATCCCATAAATAATGCATGCAGTGGCAGGAGGAGATATTTTACTTAAAAATGATGCACCCTGTAAGTTTCAGTTTTACAGTCTCATCACCATCTGTTCCTTTCCTTTTTGAAAAAAAAATCTAGATTAAACATAATGCAGTTGCTGCTGCGTCTCCGTTAGCACCACTTGGAGCAATTGAGCAGAGGATAAATTCTCCCAGTTTAAAGGGTGAGCACTCCAATGCACCTTCCTTGGGGTTTCTTTTTTTCCATTTTCCAGGGAAAACTTTTCATTTTAAAGAATTATTTTTCATTCATGACAGGGAGCCAAACTGGGGACAACAACTTCATTTCGTCATTACGCAGCCAGGATGTGCTGACTGGATGGCCTGTCATAGGAAAAACTTAGTTTCTGGTAAGTGCAGTCCCCTGCAGGCTGAGGTTCCTAAGATTATCTGTTTTTGCTCTACATGCTGACTGGGGGATTCTGGGAGTTGAAGTCCACACATCTTAAAGTTGCCAAGTTTGAAAACCACTGGTCTATATAGTAACCCACCTGCAAGGATCCTTATTTCTTGACTGATTTGTAGTGATCCCAGACATCACTTAATTTACAAGTGGTTTAAACTACTTCTGCCTGAAGTTTTGTGAAGAGCAGCTACAAAAGGTTTGGAGGAATGAGCATCAGGTGCTCCTGCAATCTGTGTAGGGCTGACAGAGAGTGAGAAGACTGAGAGGGTGAATGAATTCCTGTGTGCTATTTCATATGCCCAGTAGGTTATCCAATCAAATATCGTTTTTACGGTCTTTGACCAGCCTGCCCAGTAGGTTATCCAGGTATTACAAAGATATCAAAAAAGCACCCTTAGATTTGAGCAAATTTCAAAACTGTTTTTAATCCATATAAAAGGCCAGACTTCCTATTATGTTTTGAATTCTATGGGATAGTCACTGAACAGTGCTTTCTTTCTCTTCTGTTGCAGCTGTTGGAAGTGGAGAAGTGAATAAATCTCAACCTTAACGGACTATGCACTTATCACAACGCCAAGAGCAGAGTGAATGCTTGTTTACTTTCTCAGAATTAGTTACTGACTTCAGGAGAAACAGGATTCAAATGGGGGTGGAGTGGGGGTAGTATAAATTGTTCTCTGTAAAAAGTGCTTTCTACGATACCCCAGAAAGAAATTTGTTTAGTCCAGGAAAAAGAACAGATATAACAAAAATAGATAAAATATCACTAACTTATTTCACAGGCACACATCATTCAGCAGGCTTTAGTCCAAATTTAATTTTCAATGCCCATTCATGCATGAAGGAAAAGGAGTTTTTTTTTTTTTTTACTGTGTATTTCAACTCTCCATGATTCTGGAGTAAAATCCTCTTGCTTTATATATGGAGGCAGGGACATCCTACTCTGGAGGGGAAGAAGCCTCTCCCAGCTTCTACAGAAACGTTTGGAGGAACAGAAACAACGCACCAATTTTCTTTATCCAGAATTTTCCAACATAAGCCTTCATGCTTGCTGGGGGTTTTGGGACTTGCAGTTTCCATGCATTCGGACAATACCGAAATAGATAAGGCCTTTAGGTCCCTTGGCCACTCACTGAATAAAAGGAGTCAGTACATTTGAGTCAGAAGGAGAATCAGAGGTTCCTTGGCTGTGTCCTCCACATGTGTAAGGTGGTTCCAGAAGTTCTACTATTCCCAGGTATTCAGGATGGATAAACTCCCCCCATGAGTCAAGAAGAACAGAAATACATGATATTTCATGGTGAGCATCCCAATGTGCATTCGGATGTTTAGGCGGAGTAAGGGGCCCCATTCTACCTCTACAAGCCCTCCTGTATCCCTCTATGGCTAGGTTACAAAAAGAAAACAATGTTTCAAAATGTCTTTTTCAAATAATATGAAATAAAGTATCCCTATTTCGACATAATTGTTCCTGTTAACTGTCTGGCTGCCTGATTAAAGAAAGAAATTAAAATAAAACATGAAATGATATTCAACAATCTAGTACGGATTAAACAAATTAAGTGTTAATTTTTTTTGTTTCTTTGTTTAAACTAATGAAGAGTAGAGATCTATCCTCACATTTGTTACTTGACCTCAGCTATGATTTTCCACTGTGCATACTTCACAATCACAGAAATACTTTTTACAGTCAAATGCCCTTTCCTGTACTAGAAATGTGAATGATCACATTCATTGTGGCTCCTTGAGACTGATGGATGTAAAATGCAAAGTATGTACATACGTGAGAAGATTTAGGAGGAAGAGTTGATTTGAAGAGGAAAAGAATAGTGTGAGTGGTTCATGAGGAGGGAAAGCAATAGAGGAGAAATTGGCTTCTAGGCAGCATTAAGTAGGGCTGCAAATACTTGGAAAAAGATTTGGAAGAAGTGCTTCAGACCTGCATGAGCCCAGCTCTTCTCTCCTATTGTTAAATCATCAGAATTTTCACAGGCTTTTATGTGAGTCTGATTTTTGAAAAGCACTGCTACATTAAGAGTCATGTTAACTTTAATTGGCATATTCCTTAAAACAGCAGCATTTTTTTTTCAGATTCATGCCAGCAGACTGATTGTAATGAACAGCAGAGAGGTGCAGTGCTTTGCAAGGTCCAAAGCACTCTTTCTGAATAATTTTCATAGCATGCACAGCAAGAATAGTTAAACTGTGGTCTTCCAGATGTTGCTGAACTACAGTTCTTCACATTCCTTTCTATTTGTCATACTGGTTCAGCTGTTGGGAGTGCAGTTCAGGCTACATCTGGAGGACCATAGGATCTCAATCTCCAATCTACAGTAACATGCAGTGGCACATTGTTAGCTCCTTTCAAGGAATCTGAGTGGGAGACAGCCTAAGAATTCCTGTAAAAAAAATTCCTATGATAAACTCCCTTGGAGGATGGATCATTAAGTTAAAAGTTAGCTTGGGAAGTGCAAGTTTAATTTTACTAAAATCTGGATTTAAAAACTGCCAAGGCTATTCTGCCTTCAAAGCTAATAAAAAGGAAGATTTTTTTTAAAGAAATATCTAACAATAAAAATATATTAATGTGTAAGAGATGTTGCAGAATTATCTGCAATCTCACGGTGCAGAGTTTAGGAAATTTTAGGGTTCTTTAATGTAAGAAGAGATGCATCACACAAAACCAGGCAAAAAGCCACTTACACACGTGAGGTTGAGGAAGTATATGCAACTCCTCCTGACTTCACAGCTCAGGTTAAACATTCAGAGGGGAGGTTCATATATTTCATGGGTTCTTATAAGTATAAATCTCTTACTTTATAATCCCTGTGTTGTCCAAATGCAAATCAGGTTCCATAATGTATTCACAAAGCCAGATGAATTGCATGAATGAGAAAGAATCAGCATGATAATGGTATGAGAGATAAGTTGGAAGTAAAGGAATGAAAGGGGCCAAGTATCTAAGATTTATTGGCCAAAAATGCATTGTTTTGAGACCTGAAAGGAATAAATGTAAGGGTAGTTGTTCATCTGTGCAGTTCCTGTTATTGTGTACAATTCAGAGCTCTATCAGCACCCAAAGACGCTCTGACCAGTTTGTTGCCCCTTCAAGTGTTTAGTATCAACACTGCACATTCGTTTTGCATGGAGATGAGAGGAGCTGTTGCTACCAAAGAAAGATTAGACAAGCAATAGAAACTGTTAAAAACAACTGAAAAACCCACTTTACTTTTTCTCTTCCTGTGTAAAGAAAAGAGGTGGGGAGAAAAGGGGGGAACGGGTCACTTTTCCCCACTGCTTCTCTTGCCACGGTTGGCAGGAGAAACGAGGAGAGAGGGCAGAAGGCAGGAGAGAAATGACAGAGAACAGTTCCTTTGGTGCCAAAGTCCTCATCCCACAGAGTGATTGCTTCAGTCTCTGTGGGATTGTCTCCTGTTGCCAGCTACAGGTGCCAAAGAAGCCATTTCCCATTGCACCCCTATTCTGCTTCCTTGCTAAGGCATAATTGGTTTGGGAAGTGTGGCCAGCCCTTTCAATAAGCTAGCAGAGTTTTCTGTTGGCTCCTGCACTACATAGCTGCACTTTCAGGCTACCGTGCTGAAGAACCCAAGGGAAGCATATTTAGACAAAGTAGGAATCTAGTCATTGACAGGATCAATTAACTTTTAGAAACCATAATATTCTAGGAAGGAAGGACTGCAAATAGATATAAAACTGAACAGCCCCTAGAGCAGATAGTTTTACTAAGGCACACGCCCCCCACATCCGCGTCAAATAATCGTGTGATTATTTGATCAACAAGCTAGATTATTAATAATAATAACAAGCTAGATTATTAATAATCGTGTGATTATTTGATCAACAAGCTAGACAGAACTAGCTACCAACCATTGTCAGGTCTCCAGAATCTCAGAAGTTCATAAGCCAGGAATATCTCCATCATTTGTGGAATCATATAGTTAAATTAGACTTTAAAATGATCTCAGCTGTTTGGACAGCTAGAGTTAATATCTTTATGATATTTTTACATAATACCCAATAAGACATAATTTCCATCTCCAATTCTCAGATTACATCAGACTCATTCTTAATGTATTCCATTACTGCAGGGTTAATGACAGATTTCTTGCCCTTACAGGGTTAGATATACATACAGCCTTCAACAGATTTCGTTAGGGTTTTGTTTTTAAATCTAAACTAACATAAAAATGGAAATGAATCATTAAGATCATCTTCCGTATGTACCAAATCTTGACAGCTACAATTAGGGTTAATAGAGTTGATTCTCAAAAAATAATTCTCTAGAAAGGCACAACACAAGAATGCTCATTTTTTTCCCACTGCTTTTTACACTACCTATGCAACCTCTAGCAAAAAGTTGCCAGAAAAATGTGAACATGCACGATTCCGATCAGGAGAGAAGAACTTCTACTCTTCAGATTGTGTTGAACCACAACTCCCATAAGCTCCTGCAGCCTTAAAGAAGATAAAACCTCAAAGAATAAATAAAATCTCCCTTCTCCTTTTCAGGGAGCCCTCCTAGGAGAGGAAAGCCACCTCCTGATTGGCTTGTTGGTGTTTGTTCTTTCCCAGATTTCAGTTGTCTCTCTTTGTTTCCTGTATGGCTAGATCAAGCCAATGTTCCATTTACCACTGCAGGACTTAAAACCATTGGAGAAGACTTTCTCCACATTCATTACACTCCCTATTTCATGGAAATCCAGGAAGAAAAAGAGTTTCTGCCCTCTGCATTAAGTTAGTGATTCTTTTTGTAATTAAAAACCTTCTAGTCTTCTATGAAACCCAGTATTTCTAATGTCAGCTAATACATATCAGACCAGGGTCATCAAGCTACTTTATATTCTGAGAGGAATTCCAGTTTTTTTATCTGGAAAATATTTTCAAAAAATAAATTCTTTGTTTAGAAAATTTCTATTTCTTCAATTCTGAGAATATCTTTACAGAAAATGCAATTGTTAATTAATGAGGGAGGATTCGGTCTTCCAAATCTGGAGCTATATCATCATGCTTACCTATTGGCAAGTATTAAATACTGGAAGCCAACAAGTGGTGTTAATTTTCCGATTTGGGCAACTTTGGAATATGCATATATAATAACACCTTTGGCTGGATGGACAGTATTAGGATTGAAATACACTAAAACTCTAATATCTTTGGAAACAATTTCATCAGTTGGAAAGCTATGGAATGGAATGTCTAATAAAAAAACATTTCACCCTTTTCCCCATGCCAAACTGACTTTATGGGGAAACCCAACCTTAAAAATTGGGAAAAAGATGGTGATATGGAAAAATTGGATGGAAGGGGGGATATTGACTTTGGTCCAAGTGATAGATAATGAAGATGAATTTTTAACATACTGTGTGTTAAAAGAAAAATACCATCTATCAGATGTAACCCAATGGCAATATTTACAATTACAACATTTATTACCAACATTGTTTGGACCAGTAGCATTTTCAGCTTCTGAGACACGTGAAATATTAGAACAACTTGTTAAATCCTTTAAAACTAAAAAACCTACCATGAAGAAATGGAAAGATTTTGGTACACTTGCTGGATTTAAGGTAAATAAACAAAAAGCAAAGATGTTGGTTAAAATATGACTATACATGTTTAAGAAATGATGAAGAAGTCTGGTTTTAAAATTGAGAAGAAGGTTAAATATCTAGGAGTTACACTGACTAATATGAATTGTATGTTACACCAGAATAATTATGTTAACGTTTGGAATGATATTAAAAAAGATTTAATGAGATGAGACAAGTTACAATTGTCATTGTTAGGTAGAATTTCAGTGATTAAGGTGAATGTTTTACCTAGAATGCTTTTTCTTTTTCAGACAATACCAATATTGACAAATAAACAATGGCAAAAAGATATCACTAAATTTGCATGGCAAGGTAAAAAACCAAGAACAAATATAGCTTTTACAGGATGCTAAAGAAAGAAGTGGGTTAGGTCTTCCAGATTTAAAGTTATATTTTGATGCTTGCTGTCTGGTATGGATGAAAGAGTGGGTGACTTTAAAAAACAAGTGATTATTGGAGTTAGAAAGACATGGCATGGATATTTATGGTATGATGAAGTGAAAGTTAATATTGATTTTAAGAATCATTTTATTAGGTGTGCCATATTGAGAGTTTGGAACAGATATAGGTAAAATTGTCTTAAAAAATCCCTTTGTGGTTGTCACCCAAAGAACCTTTTTATAGAAGAGAAATGACACTTAAACAACCATGGTTGACATATGCAGATTTATTATAATTTTCTGATGGAGAGCCTAATCTGAAGAAGAGAGAAGAATTAGAATTGGAAGGTCATAGTTGCCAATGGTTTACCTATGCACAGCTGTTGGAAAGATTTAAATTGGACAAGAAAAGTCATGAATTTACCTTGGAGAAAACAGAATTTGAATAGATTTATTATAATTTTCTGATGGAGAGCCTAATCTGAAGAAGAGAGAAGAATTAGAATTGGAAGGTCATAGTTGCCAATGGTTTACCTATGCACAGCTGTTGGAAAGATTTAAATTGGACAAGAAAAGTCATGAATTTACCTTGGAGAAAACAGAATTTGAATATGCTTTATGTACATCTTATTGCTAAAATGTACACATTTTTATTCAAGATGAACTTGGAAGATGAATATGTTTAAATGGATGGGCAAAAAACTTTGGATATAACATAATGTTGGGTCAATGGGAAAATATGTGGAATAAAGTTTTGAATTTACTCTTAATTATAACTTAAAATAAAATTTCTATGAAATAATGTATTGTTGGTATTTGACACTGGATAAACTATCTAAGATGAATAAAGGAATCTCAAATGTATGTTGGAAATGCAATAAGTGTGAAGGCACTTTTTACCATTTATGGTGGACTTGTGAAAAAGCTAAGAAATGTTGAGATATGATATGTATTTTGATTCAAAAAATCATAAAAATGGATATACAATTGAAACCAGAGACCTTTCTTTTAGGTATGATGGACAAACAGAAAGAAAATATGGAAATTTGTTTCTTTATATGATAACGGCAGTGAGACTTTTATATGCCCCAAAATGGAAGGACTTACAGATACCTACAGCTGAAGAATGGATATTGAAATGAATGGAATTGGCGTAGATGGCAAAACTGACTACTTTGGTTAAAGAAAGGACTTTGTCTAGCTTTGTTTCTATTTGGAAACCACTCTTGGACTTTTTACTTAGTACACAAAAAATGAAATTTTGATTTTGGGATTTGCTGACTGATTTATTCTATAACTACAGAAATACCTTGTATTATTCTTTTTATATTTTTGCTGACATAAACTTATTTAGTAATTTTTTTTAAAAAAGAGTAAAGGATGGTTTTTATTATGTGATTTTTTAGATATTGGAGTAAGAGGTGAATTTATTTTATACCTACGCCTGTACCAAAGAAAGTTGGAAATTATTTTTCTTTTTTTGTATTATTCTCTCTTTTGTTATTTTCCCCCTTCTTTTGATCTTTTTGTATTTTACTTCTTTCTGAAACTCAATAAAATT